GCGGGGTGCTCGACGCAAATTTCGAAAAGAACCCCTTGGCTTGAAAATCTTTTCACTCGTAAGAGGTACCAATTCTATAACAACATTTTAATCTCCTGTCATATTGTTTCGGTTCAGTACTCTAAAAGCTACCGCAAAAGCTCCCGTTGTGAACCTTTTGAACCGCTTTTTCAACCCTGAAAGGTGCGACGAGCACCCCCCGTCCTTTTTATATGGGAGTCTAGCCGGGGGACCAATCACCCGAACTAACCTGTCGGCATATCGTAAAGTGTTTAATGTGTGTTCACAGCAACTCATACCAGGTGAAATCATGGCGATCTGTAAACACAAGTATATATCATTATCACAAGCTTGCCAAATCTTTCTCGCCAATGCTTAGTATGGGAGGCAGGAAACAATGCACATGTTTGTAGATTGAAAAAAGAAACGCGCGAAGAGGGACGAATGTTTCTTTTTAAGGGTAAAATGGTTTCATAAGGTTTAGTTGTGGAAAAACTCAATAGAATCTAGGATAACTTGACTGTTGTTTACTGAACAAAAACAACAACCACAGTAACAAAATTACTCACCATACAAGTCTTGGATTTCTCGCCGATGAATGAATCTCTCAGAACCTGTTTAATTAAGACAACACAAAAAATGAACCAAGCAATCTAAGTTGTCCCAAGCTTCTTCTTTGGAGTGACTGGTGGAGGTACAAGAAGACAGTGAAGATATACTGTATTGTGTTGGTGTACCACCAAATACTCAAAAACAACATTGCAAAAATGTCTGACCATTAGTAATGGAATGTGTGACAATTAGTAACGGCATGTGTGACAATTAGTAATGAATGCGTGACAATTAGTAATGGAATGTGACAGTATTCGTTACCTGTGTCAGTTTGCTTGCTCTAAAGGGAAGATGAGCTCCTTTGCGTCCAAGAGCTCTGATGCATTCCTGAAAGATAAACAAGACCTCTTGTTGGCATGATTTTACGCGACTTTCGCTTCACTTCTCCATTTTTTCACAGAGAAACAGAAACAACCTCGAGGGATGTATAGTACAAAACCAACCAACCTTCAAAGCAAGTAGACTCTTGTTGATTTCTGCGCCTTCAAGACGTGTCTGTCTGTCAGCGGTCGATGTGTCAGCTCCTCTTTCGTTCCCTGATTAAAGCAAGACAAGCATAAAAGCTCTTATCTTAAGCACTAAACCAAGGTACAAGTTGCTTTTCACATTATACCTTCTTGTTGCATTTTCATTCTGTACTATTATTGTGTGCGTCACACGCTTTCTAAACCAATCAAAATTCGAGGCAAAAACACGGCATCACTGACAAGCGCTGGAAAAATGTGTAACCGGGCAAAAGCGCGAGAAATATGTGTAACCGGGGAAAAGCGCGGGAAAAATTGATAGGCTAGAACAAAAAAAGACTTTGCTCCAATTGGCTAAAGTAAGGTGCAAGAGGTGCAAGAGGGGTTTGGTGCGAGTTAGTCGTTACTGTAAACACGCATGTTGTAAACCAAGCCAGACTAGTTACCTGCTAAATCTATCAGCGAGAATTTGCCATACAGTTGGCCTCCACCGCCGTCTTTCCTGTAGCCTCTATGAGCAAAGTTGTACATTACATGATCAAAATTTATTATAATCGGCAATTTAAATAACCAACATTAAACCACGGATAAATCTTGTCCAAAAAGAAAAAAAAATTGACGCTGATTGTTGGGAAGCTGGCTCCCATAAAACAAGTTCACCTCTTTCTCAAGATGATCTGGAAAACAGCGTGTGACCTGGAAGAGTTTTGATTTGCAGAGGTTTGTCCAGATGTCCTGTGAAAATGAGTCAAAAGTGTTTAAGTGTTAAATTGTGTTAAATTCAGTCTGTAAATACAGTCCCTATACGCATCGTTAACTGCCATTACCAGGGTTTTACTGGTGAATGATGTTAAAAGGCAAAATTGCCAAGCTTCCTCCATACTAAGACGTTCTCATTTTGAGGTATGAAGGTAGGTGTGACTAGATAAAGTCTGTTTTTAACATGAGAGGGACTTTCAGATTGTCTGGGATAGAAATTCCTAATTCTGAGCGAAACACCTGATCTAAAGCGAGATGGAGAATTCGCAGACCTGGGATTATTTCCATTCGACACTTACCTGAGTTTATTACCAAGCTCTATAAGCTTTAGAGTGTCTTGCACTGAGTTCACGATCTTTTCTTCCAGCTCYCATACCTGAAAAGTAATTAAACSAYACTCTTGACTTATTGGGTGAGTTCAGAAATCTCATCGGTTAGTTAGAAAATCATGCACCGTTATGAAACGTCTTAATACAAAGGAAAGATCGATGCTACATGTGGGAGATGCCGCGAAGCAGGCATAAAAAATGTTATTGACCAGGCTTGTTTGATGAGAGAAAGAGAAGGATAAACTGCTTTTAACACGAACCACTTTAGATAAAATAAATATCCTACCTGAACTTGTTGATTGCCATCCTCCAAAACTCTTAACCTTTTTCGTTTGTTGAGCAAGTCAAATACCTTCACAAGTCAAAAGAACAGTGAAACAATAAAGATGCAATTTCAAGCTGTTTGGCCAAAATGTAGACGCTATAAAAAAAAGAGCAAAAAAGCTTAGAACTAATAACGGTAACAGCCGGTTTCGCTACCTGTCGAGTTCCCTACATGTTCGCTACACACAACTTTAGTTCGCTACCTAATTAATTCGCATTCTCTACTATCGATAAAATTAAAACTTTGCGAAACAAAAATATATAGATCTAAGACTTCACGCACATAGATTATTCCTCGTTCTTTCATCCACTGCCGAGCTGAACACGGCTAGCTGGGGTAGCGAACTCGGCCTTCGCGAAGCGAGTATGCAGCGAAGTCGAACATCCCGACCTCGACAGGTAGCGAAACTGGCGTAAACCCTAATAACGTACCTTGCTGCCGTAAATCTCGAAATAACTAGCAGATATGAGAAGATCCTTGTTTTTGTGTTTGGTGGATTTGTTCAATTTAAACACATCCGTTGCTGTAAGACAAAATTAATGTGATTGAAAATCGATCGTGTTTTAAAACTCTACTCAGTTTAAACAAGTCTACGTTTTCAAGTTTGCAACAACTTAGCATGCGTTTAAAATTTGGCATTTCATTTTCTTTCTATCGATTAATTCAGTTTTTGGTAGAAACAATTTTATTGACATTTACTTTTGATAAGACTACAGATAATGACTCTTAAATCTGTTACTATAGGGAAATATCTGCTAACGAGAAAATCAACTTAGAAAAAGGACTAAACAAGTGTCTTCACAACTTACCAACAATGAAACTTCTAAAGTATACGAGCTGAATGGTCTTTTAGAAGAAAATACGAGTCTTGCAGAATATTAATGAGAAAAAATTTACGGAACTGCTGTCTCGAATTTCTGTTGCACAAACTCTCGGCTTTTTCATTCCCTATCCCTGATGTATACTTTTCTTGAGTATTTTAACAGTTAGTTAGACCAACCTGCCAGTGCATAAATTCCTTTAGTGCAATCCTGTTGCTTCCCACTGAATGTACCACCCATGGTCTGTAATCACACATGAACAATATATTTAACAAATTGATGTCAGTTTCTCATGCGTCTGTCCTATTATTGATCACGAATTTCGTCACAACATTGTCAAAGTAACTGTGGATCCGCAGACTACTTTGACAATTTTATGACGAAATTCATAGTCAATAACAGGGCAGACGCATGAAAAACTGAAGTCAATTTGGTTTTTATGATAACAAATTGTCAAATTGTCCACTCTCGCTTGTTGACACATCGCATAACTAATAAATTCATATGTCTGTCGGCATATTGACAATGAAAATTAGCCAATGAGCCAGTGAGAATTCTGTAGTTATCATAAAAAAGTACATTGTCGAAATCGAAATATGGCACAATTTCACACAGAACTGGACTACACTAACAGCTTGAACTCCATCTGATGACCATATCATTACTACAGTCAGACACATTCTTCTTCTTGTTGTTCCTTTGTCAAACCCTTAATAGCATAAATGTTTGCTCTTGAGTGCTTCATTAATATTATCATGTGGAAAATTTAATGATAATTTTTGATAATTTTTATAGCACTATTTACATATGCTGATCAATAGCACTTTAGCTAAATAGGAAAAAAAATATATAATAATTTATAACATGCTACTTACATGAGTTTTTCCACTGCCTGTCTGGCCGTATGCAAAGCATGTTGCCATTCCCTGGTTAAAAATTGTGTCAACAAGTGGCTTTGCTGTATATCTGAGACATAATACAAAGTGATAACAGTGTTAGTCAGAACGATTCAAATTTCAAATAAAACAGAAAAGTTAGAATTTGTCAGGGATCTAATGGCCTCACCTGTATACCAATTCATTATTTGCATTCTCATCAAAGGCATAATCAAACCTGTAAAGAAATAACAGAATAGTGTTTTCATTTAAACTTTTTCTCACCTTATGTAAGATGGTACAAAGTAGAAACTACCAACTAGTTATAAATATTAGTTTTAAGGACACTTTATTGTTACCAACTGAAAGTACTGAATGAATGCCGTCCATTAGAAATAAAAAGCCATTATGATAGCATAAGATTTTGTTATGGAAAGGTCATTATATTTCACACAAACTAACCAAAATTTGTGATTCTCCAGATACTTTGTGAGGTCCACTTTCAATTTAGGCTCATGGATCTAAAACAAAATGGTACCACAAAATAATCAGTTACCAGGAAACCACAGACTTAAATTGAAAACAATTTAACTATATATAACTGACACTTTCCAAGATAATTATCGCCCCCAGCCCAGTTACTTACCACACAGTAATCACCCTTTGGTACTATGATGACATCAATTTCCTTTTTATTGAGTTCTGTACAAAAACAAAATCAAAACAATTTACATGCTAGAGTGGTTTTCATTTGAGTGTCGAAAAGTGATTGGTTTTGCTTCATCTATGCTACACAATTAGCTTATTTAAAACTTGCACCACTTTTTCATCCAATCAGAAGTAAAACCAAAACCAATCGTGACTTGCTCACACTTGTTTTCCTG